GTTCCCTTAAAAAACATGAAATTATTCACTCTGGAGAGAAACCTTATGGGTGTAAGCAGTGTGGGAAAGCCTACACTGATTCAAGTACTCTACGTATTCATGAAAGAACTCACACTTGAGAGAAATCCTATGGATGTAAGTAATGTAGGAAAGTATACAGTGATTCCAGTACCCCTTATATTCATGCAAGAACTCACATTGGAGAGAAACTATGAATAAGCAATGTGGGAAAGCCTTCACTCAATGCACTCACCATCAAGCACACAGAAGAACTCACACACAAGTGAAACCTTATAGATACATGCAGTGTGAGAATGTGTTCACTTATTTTGGTCACCTTTGAGCCCTGAAAGAACTCACACTGAAGACAAACCTTATGGGTGTAACCAATGTGGCTAAAGTGTTCACATGCTCTATTACCTTAAAAGACATAAATGTACTTAGACTAGAGAGAAAAGCCATGGATATGAATAATTTCCAGTGACATTATTCAGAGAAACTTTATAAATGTAAAGAATGAGCAAAAAACTACACTCTATCCAGTATTCGTCATACTCAACAAAACGCAAACAGGACAAGCCCAGTGGATGTAAGCAGTGTGGAAAGCCTTCCTTAGTTCTAGTACCCTTCATGCACCTGAAAGAACTCATCTTGTAAATAAACACTAGGTTCATATCAAATATAAAACGTTCACACATCCCAATTTCCTTGAACAACATGAATGAACTCAGAGACACTATTGCAGTTATCTTTGACATGAGACAGTTCACATTGTAGTACAATGATGTACACGGGTGTAATGTGGCTAAGTCTTCACACATTCCACTGCTCCCTCAAAACATACAAAAGTAAAATAGAGAATAATTGTATTTGGAAATCAATTAGAAAAGTCATCACTAATTTCCATGATCTCAAACATGAATGTCCTCACACTAGAGAGAAAATCCATAGGTGAAATTTATATAGGTATATCTTCTCATTCCCATTACCAAAAAAATACAAGTAAGATATCACACTATAGTGATATGGATGAACTCAGAAACACTATCAATGTAAGTAAAGTGGGAATGTCTTCACCTTGCATTAATTGTTTTTGACATGAGACAGTTCACCTTGTAGCACAATGCTTTTCATGTGTGTAACGTAGTTAAGCATTCAAACATTCCAGTGCTCCTTCAGAACATACAAAATTATATGATCAAATATGGTATGAAGAGAGAGCTTGATTCATGGCTAATGGCTGGCAGAGAAGGAACTCTACTTCCAAGCCTCCAGTCTATTTTCTCCTAGTTATTTCAGAGCAAGGGTCTGTGAACTGTTTGCACAGGCTGACCTCTAGCCATGATCCTCCTCTCTTACCCTCTCATGTACTAGAATTATAGGACCCAGCCACTGGCAATTGCCAAATACATTCTTGGAAATCTGTGGGATATGTATGTCTAAATTTTTTTCAAGAAACACTTTTTATGCTTCTTAATCTGTTGCCAGCCTATAAGGACAGTCGCATTAATAGACTTCCTTAATTGCTGGAAAGAGTTGGTGCACAGATGGTGTACCATATGAGCCACCCCAGCAAACTTTGTGTGTGTTTTAAGTATTTTAAAGATAAGGTCCCTCAAAGTGTTTTCCCAAGCAAGCTTCAAAACATAATGCTACTGATTGCTCTTCTTCACTATCTAAAATAAAGGTGTGAGCTCTTGGTGGCCCTGATCTGGGGATTTCCTTATTTGTCCACTGAATTCAAATGTCTTAAGGCATTTATTCTACCTAGTATACTTCATAAAGTGGATTTTGTTACATACTTTACACTGTGTGGCTGGAAGTAGAGAATTGTAAACATACCTGAGAATCAGGACAACTCAGAGTAAACACAGTCAGTTGTGCACACAAACCACCCCTTCCTTTGGTAGGCAAACAGTAGAAATAAGACAGAAAGGTAACTTAATTAAAATGTTTTCAGAAACTATCAAGCGGAATATGGAGAAATGACAGCAAACAGCACATGTGGTTACACTTCTACACAAGATAAAGGGCATATAAGTTGAGTGATAAGGACATTTGATGCCACATCTGTGTAAAAGAATTCATCAAGAAAAGAAAATAGTTTTAAGAAGAGTTTTTTCATGGAAAGCACTGGGAATCTGAACACAGGGTAGTTGTACTGATCTGATAGTAGATTTGGGCAAGTTTGTGTAATGCAAGACAAAAAAAATCAAACACGCACCCATTAGCAAGAGGGTGGGAAGATTTAAGTAGGAATACTTCACTGGGTGTCTTGAGAACTCCATTCTGGTCAGTACAGATGGGTATGGTCATTCCTGGAAAACTGGTCTGTGTGTGGTTAACTCTCATAGTGTGAGGTAGATGCTGGTGGTTCAAGCTTGCAATTCTAATTGTTAGAGTAAGGATTGGGCAGCCACCTTTGGATTGGGCCCTTCCTCATCACAGTTGGCTTAATGAAAACTCTACACCTGGCCCTAATGAATAACAAACATTCACCTTTAGTCAATTACTAGAAATTTCCCACCCAGCCTCATAGAAAGACCGCTTATCTCGGTAGTGGCAGAGGGCCTATGGAGTATATTTCCTGTCCATTGACCTTCCTGGGAGTTTGCCGTGAGTTTCCTTTCTTGGACTGTCTATATCTGTCCCTAATCTGCAAGTAGTTGTGGGCTACTCCTCTCTTACTGGGGTCTGCCTCTAGAGAATCCTCCCAATAAAGCATGTGCTGAGGTATTGATCCAACCCCGTGCTTCTTTTAATCTAGCATCTCTATCTGTGCTTACATTTTAGTCCAACATGCCTTTTTTCACCATTAACAGTAAGTAATCAGGAGGCAGAGATCAGAGTGATTACAGTTTGAAAGCCAGCCTAGATGATTCATTCCTGAGGCCACAAGTTCAAATCCAGTATACCAAAAAACCTTCATAACTTCTTCGTGTCAACAACATGTCTTAGTTGCTGGCTTGGAGGACAATTTCCTTGGCGATGGGGCTAAAGCTGAGTGTGCTGGTGTTTCAGGTCAGCAAGATTGCTGTATCATTGATATTGGCCCTCTAATCTACAGTGTCATTCCTTATCAACAGACAAGGCATGTTTCTCAGCCATCAGGTTACTAAATCCTTCATTAGTCCTCATCAGAGACTGCTTCTTTCCAATACAGGCTCATCCATCAGACAGCAGACATAATTCCGTCCTCGTTGCTAGCCAATGAAATAGAAGATGAGTCTACTCTCATTTTTGATCTGTAACTGAATATGTGCCTTTTTACAATGGTTTTCCAGCAAACTTTTAGAGGGATTAAATGGTTTTTGTACATATTACTTTGGTATACTGCTCTCCTGTCCCAAAGTACCTGTCTGCTAGAGCTGCTGTAAAACATGGGCCCACTTTGTAGGGAGATAAGTTTTGTTAAACTCCAAAAGTCAAGAATCCTGCAAATTTCAAATTTGGAAGCTAGTTTGCAAAATTTTAAGATGAACAATTTGAAAATAATGCACATGAATTTTTATACCTTGGAGCAGTCTCTTACATCATCTTATAATACTTTAGGGCAGCAACTCTATCTTCTTACATACCCACTTGTCATGTACATGTGAAACTTGTACTGTCCATTTTTTTAAGCTGAGTGTGTAAATATTTTACAAGCCATAGACAAGCCAGAGAATCCTGTGGAAATGAGGAGAAAGGCTAATTTGTGCTGTTACTTGAAATTATTAATTCCTTAAAATCAGTTATGATATAAATGAGTTGGGTATGAATTTGGTGACATAGGAATGGGTTATATGTTTCCTTTTATTTATTAGGAATATATTTTCAACTTAAGTATACTTAACTCAGTACTTTGACTTGATTAACATTAGAGGAAAAAGGTGCACATTGAAACAATACATCTCAAACTCAATTCAAGTGTATAGCACGATTAACAGGTCTACAAGGATTGACAAGTTCAAACAGTGTAAAAAGTGTTCAGAGACATTAAAGAAATAATACTCATTGTTAAAGCATATATAATAGTTCTTTCGAAGTGTAAAATATGGCCAGTTCATGGTTCCAGTGAGAATATCAAGGTAGCAATTTACCTGGCATTAGTCCCAAATTTTACAAATGAAATAAAATACACCTGACTTTTAGTTGAACTTGGATCTTTCCAGATAATGTGAAGTAATATTTAGCTCTGTAAATCGTGTCCATTCTGAAAGTGCATCCCTTGCTGCTTTCCTTTTTCTACAGCAAATACAAAACCTTAATTTTCATTTCTAAAAATCGACAGGCCTTCAGACCCACTTTCTTAAGGCCACCTTACCTTAACATTCATTCCTATAAAACAACTGAGAACAGTAACAGCTATATGTGTGTGGAGGATGGGAAATACATCTTCATTCCACTCCAAGAGCAACCATGTATGAAAGTGGATTTCTCTTTCTAAAGGTTGTGGCATTAAGGAGCTACTTGGAAATTCATAAATTTAGTGACAGCACTAAGAATGAGAGGACAGTTTGTGGATTCAATTCCTGATTACTCTCATCTTTTAGGAAACCCAGAACTCAGAGAAAAGGGAGAGAAGGTGCGATGTACTTTGATGCCCCTTCCCCACACAAATTTCATAGATAAGCATAGAGGATCCAATGAATACCCTTCATCACCTCACAGTTGGGGAGTGTCAGGTTTTGGTGTGGATCTTTCCAGAGGGTACTGTGGGCCAGGACAAAGTCACCTCAGGTACAACATAGGATAGTAAAATTTTCCTGACTCCCCTGCAGGATTCATGGCACCAAGCACAGAGTGGCATCAAATGTTCGATCCGTTCACACATGGATAAGATCACTGTGGCCCTCTGCGCAACTAAAGATTCTGGCCATGTATGTCTACTATGCCTGTGTAAGATCACTTCTTTAAAACCTCTTAGCTTTAGTAAGTTCTTGAGGTCTGGCTGAAGTGACACTATCAGGATTGTGAAGCTTTCCCCTCTTATCTCCAAATACCCTTCTATATTCTTT